ACTCCGGAAGACTGGAACTAATTTAGATACCGGTATATGTCTTCGGCTTCCTTAAAGTCTCCAAGAGTCCGGCGTTTCCTTCAAAAGAAAAGAAGTCCGGAGACTACTAAAGTGAAACTTTTTAATCCGTTTCTGCATGTTGCAGATTATATTCCGAACGTTGGACGAGCTTGCCAGAAGTTAGAAATTTGATTTCGAGTTAAATATTTGGTTCTTCAAAAGGTGTGATAAAAATTTATTTATTTAAAGTATTGTAAGAAAAAAGTTAAAAAAAAATTAACTTTAAAGTGTAAAAAAAAAAAAGTTTATCAATTAAAAAAAAGATCGAAGATTTTTGTGGGAATAGAAATAATTACATGCCGTAAATTATTCCAATGACCTATCAGACTACTGATAGGTATAATAAAATTTTCTGATATTTTAATGATATGTCTTTAAAAAATCAGATTTTTTTCATAAAATATTATTAAACATTTCGGATTACCGATACTTGTAAATGTTTAATATTGCCTATCATGCCATATCGGGTTTCTGATTATTTCCTGATATTTGACCAATACGTTATTACCCGATATTTCATCATTTGACCAGTGGCAATATGCAGCGCATTAAATAAATTACAAAAGGATATTGCGCGCCTATATGAAATTGCACACTGCTTTGGTTGGATAATTAAAATATTTTCTTCTCACAAAAACGTAGAATTTGGTAATTGCATGATAGCAAGATTAGAATCACGCTGGGCACAGTGGGAACAGCCATTACTATTACTTTCAATTGTTCTTCATCCAAAATATCGAGTTTCAAAATTTAATTCTTCTGCTAAAAATATTTCTTATACACATTTTGGACAATGGCTTATATATTACTATCAAGCATGGTTTAATGAAACACCAAAAAGAATCCTTCGTGATTATTTATCATATCAACGTGAGCTTTTTCCTTTTAATTCTGAAACTTATAATCAGTTTGAAGAAAATATTATTGATTTCTGGGAATCTGCCAAAGGATTGGCACCTGAACTCTCAAAATTAGCTTTACATCTTTTTGGGATCTGCGTTAATGCAGCTTCAGTGGAACGTCTTTGGTCAAATATGGGTTTTTTACATTCAACCCGCCGAAATAAATTATATGTAAGTGTATTTTACCAAAATTTATATTATGCAAAATCACATTAACAAAAGATTATACATTTTTAATTTTGTAGCATAAGAAAGTTTTGGCTATGGCTCAATTGCGAAGTGATATATTATGTAAAAGAAAACGTGATGATATAGAAATTTCTGAACGACAATATAAACGATTACATATTGCTGAACCAATCCAAGAATACCAATCAGATGAAGAAGACACAAATGATAATGAGTTCACATTTAATGCTTTTAACGATAGTGATACTGAAGAACTAGAAGAAACTTCTGTTATTGATGAATGTAATGTTAATGATACCTTTGAAAAAACTAATAATAGTGATAATATTAATTCTGAACAATGGACTAAAATAATTGAAGATTGGATTAAAATGGTTAATGCAGAAATTAATATAAATAATACAGAAGTTATAGGCGAAGAAACATATGAATTTGAAATAGGTGGACAAAGTATTCATCCAGCAGATAATCCATTGGCTAAATGGAAGTTACTTGATTTGTTTAATGAGACTTTAGAAGCTCCAGTTAATATGTTTTAATAATAAATTGTGAATTTGTGATTAAGTAATTTTTACTTTTATTAAATAATACGCTATAATAAAGATTTATTATATTAAATAATTTTGGCCGGCATTACAGCTCACATGACATAATTTCAAATGACATAATATTGTCATTTACTCACTGAAATGACATAATGATACGTGACATGTCACTAATGTCATTTGTGTCATTTAATATCACTTCACAACACTGCCCTGAAGATATTTCATCAATTTCACGAAACTGTTTGTGCTTTAACTCTTTAAGTGTTAACTCTTGAACGGGCAATTTTTCAGAGCCTTCATTGCTATCCTTAATTAAACGTCGCACCTTATATGTTCCACCTTTTTGCAAGATATCATGAGCCATCATTTCAACGAGTTTGCTGGCTAATGGACTACCAGCAATCTTTGCAAAATTTTTGATTACATTAACAATTATATCTTTTGTATTCTTTTCATAGTGATCATATAAAGCCTTACATATTTCTGGTGAAGTAATAACATATTGTTTATCTTTAAAATTAGAATGGGTAAATATGTATGGCTTTTTTGGAATAATTATCTTTAAAAATTAATCATATTATACCATATTATCATCCCAAATCTCTTCATCTGTCAAACACGTTGTTTGCCAAATTCATGCCATGAATAGTATGAGATTTGCCTTCATTTAACTGTTAATAGATGAAATCTGCTAAAAAATACCAATGAGTTATATAGAAAGCCAGATATAGTGAAAAGTGTGTTTTGCCAATGCCAAGTACTAATCCAATTATAATACATCCTTTTTTTCTGTCATTTTTTCTTTACTAATAGTATGATTATTTCCAATCTCTTCAACCATCTGCAAGTATGAAGTCTTTATTAGTATTATATTTTGTATTGATATACTATAGACAGGACCCCAGACATTACATATACAACTCAGTGGCAACTTTTTCGCAGATTGACCTAAATTTCACAAAAAAAAAATCAGTTTTTTTGTGATTATCTTGGCATCCAGTAGTCCAATTTGTACAAACTTTTTTTTGTTTTGTAGCTCTCATCGAGCTCTACAAAATAAAGAAACTCTGCATGAATCGGATCACTGGATACTGAGATAATCGCAAAAAAGGAAAATAATAAAAGAGCAAATTGGGCCTTTTTTGGCAAAAAGTCAGTTGTGGGTTCTATAAGAGATGTCCAGGGTCCTCTATAGACTATTCCTTTTGGTAAATTACAGAAGCAAAGGAATTTTGCCAGTAGTCTGGGCTTCTTATTTCTATCATCCTTCTTTTCTTCAAATCTATTGTAATATTCTCTATTACAGATTTACTACTATTATCATATTTTTTTTTTTTATGCCTTCAGCATATTTGGTAAGTTTATTAAAATTTATATATAAAGAATACATAATGATTAATTAAACTAAATCCTAATCTAAGTAACTACCAAACTACTTATCATACACAAAAAAGCATCTCATATACTGTATATACTACTAAGTAGAATTTAGATTCAAAGGGTAAGAACTGCTTGACTATCAATCTATCTTAAAGCAATATTCTCCATTTTTTATATCCATTTGGAATTTCATAAAACCTACTATGCTGCTAAAACAAAATAATATCCTGCTATACCATTATAGACCAACTATAAATATATAATTCAGTTAGTAAATTCCTTCTATAATCCTTAAAGTATTTTTTCATACAATAAGTCATTAGCAAAATGGCAAGTTGGCTAACTTAAAGTTGCATTTAAATTGCAAAAGCCATTTAACTTTCTTAGATTATATATTAATAAAGTGGTATTCCAATAGTATATAAAATACTTCTACTTACTTAAAAATTTCCCTTTACTGAATACTATCTACTATTGATATGACATATTCTAAAGAATTAAGTATAAAAAGTTGGTATGATAGATACACTTAGAATCTACTAACTACTTTTGAAGGGTAATACTAAAGATTTTAAGAAGATTTTTTCCATTAATATTACATTCAGTGATCTATTCAAGATCAATAATATTTGTATATTTGGTCAAGTGTGATATTTTTAAAGCTATAAATTTTAAAAAATAAAATTAGTATTTTTCTGCTAAAAAAATGGACATAATAATCATTGGAAAGAATTCCTTTTTTTCAATATTTAATAACAACATTATTTCAATAAATAAAATATTATTTTGTTGATTGTATAGCTGTAATAAATTATTTAATTATATACTTTTTACCAAACAATTCCCTATATATTCTTTCTTTTAAGACCAATAGTCAAAACAAATTAATTTTATTTAAATAAAGTTTAATTTAGTAAAAATATGTGAAAACTTGAAAGTAATTTATAGAAATGAAGTAGAAAATGAAATTAAATAAAAATTAATAATAATATATATATATATATATTTTTAAATGATTTATATATGCTTTATTGATATTAAGTAGTAATAATATATATTAAAAATAATTCTAATTTAATGAAATAGAAGAGAATGTGAAACTACAGTCAACTTTTAATATAACGAAGTCAGCGTCTGGACTGATCAGGTCTTTATTATAGGAATATTCGTTAATATGATGGGAAAATCTGGTATAACCCAGAAAATTTTTGTATATTATGGTATATTGTCATATAATAATTGTATCTTATAATGCAAAGATGCAAGTTACACAAAATATCTTCGTTATATTGAAAAAAAATTTGTTATAAAAGAAAATTCGTTATTAAAAGGGGCATTTTTCATATACGGTTTATAAAATTTACTTCGTTAAATGGTATACTGCATTTAATTACCGTATAGCGCTACATAAAACACCCTCGGTGTAATTCAAGAAACCCCGCTTAGATTGTATAGTACCCGGGGGTGTTATGTGAGGAGGGGGGTACTATAATAGGGGGATACATTGAAAGGGGGGTACTAATCATGTGATAATATACTGGTAATCTTAAAAAGTAATAAAAAATTCAAAAACTTTCAAGCGTAAAATTAATTTAATTTATTGCAAATGAGAATTCTGTGTCGTTAATAATTACCAGACAAATCTTTTTATCAGATGACCTACAGGGTAGCAAAATTTTGAAAAGTGCAATAAAATGGTCATGAAATTTGATCACGTCAGTATTCTTCGCGTTCTTACAAATTTTCATTTCTTCATTTCATTCATAAAATGGGTCGTCCTCGAGCAAATAAAAGTAGTAACCGCTCAACAATAACAGAGAAAAAAAGGAGACACTGGAACGCACGCGAAAAAGTTGCAATTATTATATATCATGAAAATAACCATAGTAAAAATAAGACAGCAGCAAAGTTTAACATTCAAACAAACCAACTTCGCAACTGGATATCTAAAAAACCTCAGTTACTGAAAGTACAACCAGGTGTTAAACGTTTAAATACAGGAGCAAAACCAAAATACCCTGCTTTAGAAACTGCTTTGCTTATTTGGGTAAAAGAAAAAAGAAAAAATCAAAATGCAGTTACACAAAGCATGATTCAAATGAAGGCCAAAGCACTTGCACAACAACGCCAATGGCAAGTTACATGTTCTGGTGTTGGATCTTTTGCTTTTAGTAATAAGTGGCTAGATGGTTTTATGCGACAAAAAAATTTGAGTAATCGCTGCCGTACTACTGTTGCGCAACATTTACCTGATGATCTAGTTGAAAAACAACAAGAATTTTTATCATACATTGTGTATCGGTGTGTTCAGTATGATTATCCTTTAGCATATATTGGTAACATGGATAAAACGCCGGTATCCTTTGATCTTCCTTCCAATACCACTATTGATGAATTGGATACACGATCAGTTAGCATCCGCACAACAGGACATGAAAAAGCTAACTTTACAGTAGTTTTAACGTGTATGGCAGATGGAACAAAACTTCCTCCACTTATAATTTTCAAACTTAAGAATGTTCCTCGAGGAAATTTTCCTTCTGAAGTAATTATTCGTGCAAATCAAAAGGGTTGGATGAATGAAAATGAGATGCTTTATTGGATCGAAAACATTTGGACTAAACGTGAAAGAGTTTCTAATCCACAGTCATTATTGGTTTTGGATTCGTTTTCTGCTCACATAGTTGATTCTGTTAAAAGGCGTTTTGGTGAAAAAATACCAATATTGCTGTAATTCCTGGAGGATTAACATCCCGCCTACAACCTTTAGATGTTTCAGTGAATAAATCATTTAAGACCAAGGTAATAAGTATTACTCTGATCCCTTTGACAATATCATTTAATTCTATTTTGCTTTTTTGATTCTAGTAGTTATAATAAAAAAAAAATAATAATAAATATTAAAACATGTTATTATTATCCTATAGATGCGACGAAACTATAATGAATGGATGGCAGAAGCGTAAAAGAGTTAACACCAGCTGGTAATTTAAAAAAACCTCTTACGAAACTGTAGCAAAGTGGGTTAGAGATTCATGGAATGCAGTTGATGTTAATTTGATTCAGAAATCTTTTAAATGCTGTGGCATCTCTAATAAGCGTGATGGAACTGAAGATGACTGGATTTTTAACTATAATCGACTTGGACAAGGAAATCAGCCAGGGGATGAAGTAGAAATGCCATCAGATGATGAACGTGGCAATAATGAGGAAGGGAAAACAGATGGTGAATATGTTGGCAAGGAGAGGGAAACGGATGAGAAATATGTTGATGAGGAAGGGGAGGAGGATGATGAGGGAGAATACGAAGGGGAAGAGGATGAAGAGGGAGAATACGAAGGGGAAGAGGATGAAGAGGGAGAATATGAAGGGGAAGAGGATGGATATGATAATAAATACCATAGTCACTATGAACAAGGAACAAATTACGTTAATGTGTGGGATGATTAACAGGTAGTTTTGATCATGTAACAATGCTTATTATTCGTTAATAAAGCTTATCAGTTTCAGTTTTCAGTTTTTTTACTTTTATAAGTTAATTAATAAAGTTAATATATTATTATTTATTACATATTATTATTTATTACATTTAGTTTATTTATTATAATATATAAATGATTAGTACTGGGTACTTTACAAAATTGATAATTGATTAATACCGGGTACTATTTAAAATCGGATATTGATTAGTACCAGGGTACTTTTCAAAAATACTAGAATAATGTAAACTTGAGTAATACCCCGGTACTAATTAAGGGGAGTATTATTCCAGGGGGTACTGTATGCAGCGCTGTACAGTAGTAAAATTTGATATAATGAGATTTTTTTCATATGTTAAAATCTGTACCATACTGAAGATCTGTTATATTGTAAAATTCGTTATATTAAAATTTGTTATAAGAAGAGTTGACTGTAGACTAAATTTAACAATAAAAATATAAAATTAATAAAATTTTTTAACTAAATAGAATAAAGAATAATATTATTGATTTAGAATTAAATTTTTTAATGAAAAAAAAAGGAGAGTAAAATCAGATGAGATTTAATATAAATACAAAAACTGACAAAATTTTTCATATAAAATTTAGTAAAATATATTTAAAAATAGTTTTAATTGAATTTTTAAAGAATAAAATATAAAATAAATTTAAAATTACATAGTTTATAAATATATATAGTAAGAAACATGATGGTAATTAACAGTTTTTGAAATTACAGTCAACCCTTGTTATAATGAACCTTAGGGTCCAGATCTCAACTTCGCTATAAGACTATAGTGAAAATTTTAAGAGATTTGATTGGTTAATTCATTATAGCGAAAGGAAATTTATTATAATTGTCTGAAAAATTCACTATATCAAGGGTTCATTATATCAAGGTTTGACTATATTTATTTGTTACAAAAACTATTTATTAATGCTAATAAATTATATTTAATTTGTAGATATTAAATAATAAATATATTATTATTTACTGATATGGATATTATGATAGTTTTGCTTTATTTTTTAGAAGTAAAGATAAAAGAATATATGTATAAAGTATATATATACCAATACTTTTTATGCAGGTAATATAAGCAATCTATATATTATAATAGAGATATTAGCTATTTATATTACTATTATTAATTTAATTATAGCATATAAAATTTATATTCTTATTTGTAAATATGTAAAAAGTAATAAATTTCAATAGTTAATACTAATTTTAATTTTATTAAATAAATAGTTTTTTAGTATTTTAAAATAAATATAAAACTAACATTTACTAATTACAATATAAAGAAATGGTTTATAGAAGTATTTCTAATAAATTAAAAAAATAAAAACTTCTAAAAAGTTTTTATTTAGTATTTAAATTATATATTACAAATGTATTATAAGCATTACCAAATTTTTTTGTTAAATTAATACCAGTAAATAGAAAACTAATAAAAACTTTATTTGTCCATTCATAAAAAAAGATTCCCATTTGCAACTTTATTTTTATATAACAAAATTTTTTAAAGTTGCAAAGTATTACTCAAGTTAATAGCTTTTTAAACATATAATTTTTATTACTTTACATTAATATTATAAAGTTTATATTGTATAGAAAATTTGTATTCTGATTTGCTATATTGATTATAAGAAATTATCACATAATTTACAATACCTTTAAATAAAATACTTTTGGTAAGAATTGCTTCCAGTATGTAACTTCTTTAAAATTAAAAGTTTTTGGTCCAGATAAATTTGAAAAAATTTTCTTGAAATCTTTAAACTGTTAAAAAGTATCTTATTATTACTTAAATAAAAAAAAATAAGCTTTTTCTTTAACATTCTTTTGCTAGAAAAATAGTCAAAAAATCACTGAAAGTATAATTGATATTCCCTATTATTATATATAAATTTATTATATAATTAATATAAGTTTATATTTCATCTTGTAGTTATATTTATAACAACTTTTAAATTATCAAACTTATATATAATATATATTACATAAAATATCATTATTATATTTAAAAAAGTTTATTATAAAAAGAAATTGGTATAAAAAGGGTTATTTTATTATGTATAGTTTATAGTAGATTTATTTATTAAATAGTATATAGCATTTAATTAATAATATTTATTATAGCAAATTTTTAAAATTTGTACAATATTAAAGATTCATTATATTAAATAATTCATTATATCAAAATTTGTTATAACAATAACTATATATAACAAATTTTTTAATTATATAAATTTATTAAATATAATAAAATTATATTTCCTGAAATGGTATAATTGCACCAAAAATTAAATTATAAAATAAGTCTTATTTTATTTACTTTATTTTTAGATTACTTGTGTAAATTTCATTACTACTATATTTTTATCTAGTAATTTTTTTAAAAAAAGTAAAATATATATTAGCAATATTTTTTTTAAAAAAATAATAAAACTTTTTTCTTTAATCCTTTTTTTATTTTAATTTTAAAAATCTGGTCATATTTTTTATTTAATAAGCTAGCAATCTTATAAAAAAGAAAAAATAAATTAAATTTATTAAAAAAAGTGAAAACCCTTCATCTGCTTTTTCTTACCTTAATTTTTCAAAAGTCTGGTTTTGTTTTTCATTTAAAAGTTCTATAAAGGAAAAAAAATAAATTAAATTTATTAAAAAAATAATAAAATCATCTTTTCCAACCTTATATTTAAAATTCAGAAAAAAACAATATTTACAAAAATAAAAGAAAAAGAAATGTTAGTAATATGTTTCTTAAAGTTAATTTTGAAACTTCATCTTAAAGAAACCAATTTACAGTAAAAATTCTTCAGTTATGTTTTTCATTCAATAACTTTAAAGAAAAAAAAATAACAAACCTTTTTTTCCATATAATTCAATTGTCCAGTCATATTTTTCATTTGGCAAGTTAATAACTTTACAAAAAAGAAAAAATAAATTAAATTTATTAAATTCTTTTTTTAAACTGGATTACCACTAGAAATACACCTGTTTGGCTACCTATCAATGTATCAGTGGTTGGTATTTTAATATGATCTCTATAAGCTAAGTAAATCATTTTAAAAAAATTAAAAAAAAAAATTACAAATTTCAGTTTAAAACTGATTAATAAAAAATATGTAATATATAATATAATATTCTTTTAATACAAATAATAGTAATTTTAAAAAATAATTTTTAAGAAATAAATTTTTTTTTTTTTTTTTTCTTTATAAAGAAATACATATGTGAGGATTGGATCCCAATAAGGTTACATTATAAAAAAGCAAAAAATTATTGTTTTTTTTTTTAAAAAAAAAAAAAAAAATCATTA